CGCCTTGTTTTTCTCCCGCTCGAATTCCTTCTGAGCACGAACTGTATTCATTGGCTAACCCTTTTTGTTTGAACTGTCTGTATCGGTACATGCTTGGCTTTGAGTTTCCTGACAATGACCATGAAAGTGCATCAACAGTGACTTGTAATAAAACAATCTATTCTTATGAATCATTGTGGACTGCAACTGCTCTATTGAACCTGACAGCATCCTCAGAGGTATAACAGGCCGGGGGGGAGGGGGGGACGAGAGACTGCAGCAGGTGCAAGTTGAGGAGGAGTGGGGAATCAAACCCGGTTCTCCCAGATTAAAGTCTGCGCACTTTAACCACTACACCAAACTGGCTGCACTCCAGCACTCCAGTGTGAGGCGCATGGGTAGGATGTGTGTGTTTTAGTATTATTAATCTGGAAGCCGTAAGGCCTGTGGTGAAGTTCACAGACATGCAGAAACAGCCCGTGTTCAACTTCCAGCTGCCCAACGTTCTGGCTGCCGTGAGGGCACCACAGCCACACTGGAGTCTAAAGTGATCCAGGAACTGGTGCTCTTCAAGGTTACTCTCAAGGTAACCTTTCTCACCTCTGCCACTCTTCCTAAGGCAGCCAGGGGGCAGGCCAAGCCTGGCACACCTCTCCCTCCCTGGAAGCGGACTCTGCCTGTGCAGTCAAGCCCAGGAGCAGAGGCCCATCAGTGGCTCTTAGCCACAAGATCTATCTGGGGCAGTGGTGGTCTGTCTTCTGGGTACTGGGGGGGGGCAAGAGTGGGAGGGTTTCTGGAGTTCTGGCTCTGCTGGTGGGCCTCCTGGTGGCCCCTGGTCTATTTGGCCACTGTGTGACACAGAGTGTTGAACTGGATGGGCTATTGGCCTGATCTAACATGGCTTCTCTGTTATGTTCTTAAGAGCAGAGGTCCATGGGTGGTTTTTAGCCACAAGGCATAGAGAGAACACTGTGTCTGGGGCAGTGATGCTCTGTCTTCTTGGTGCTTGGGGGGGCAACAGTGGGAGGGGGCTCCTAGTGTCCTGGCCCCACTGCTGGACCTCCTGATGGCCCCTGGGTTCTGGCCACTGCGTGACACAGAGTGTTGGCCTGGAGGGACTACTGTTCCAATCCAACAAGGCTTCTCTCATTTCTGGGGCAGTGATGGAGTTCTGGCCCGGCTGCTGGACCTCCTGAGGGCGTCTGGACCCAGCAGGGCTTCTCTCTCGGGTCCTTGTGGTCAGGAGCACCTGAGGGACCAATTGGGGTGAACTTATCGGGTGCTGCTCCCTTCCTTGGAGGGCCCTCCGGTCTTGGGCGCTTGCCCACAGAGGGCGGCTGCATCCCTGCCCAGGGGTTCCCCCCACCCCCTGACTGACCGGTGCTGTAGAGGTGTTGGAGGATGGCGTCGTCGACAGAGTGGAGGTCCTTGACGTTGAAGGAGGGGAAGAAGTGGGCGCGGGTGAAGGCGCCGGGGAAGAGGCCGGCCCAGGTGTCGTCGCCCATGAAGACCACACGCTTCCCTGCAAAGGGGGGGGGGGAGAAGGGCTGTCAGCAGTGTTCCCTCTAAGCTGAGTCAGTGTGAGCCAGCTCACAGCTCTTTAGCCCCCGGCTCACACCTTTTTTCCTGGCTCAGGAAGGAGGGCTCCAGAGCAGTAGCCAAATCACCTGCTCGCAACTTGAATGCCGGCCGCTCACCAAGCAGAATTTTTGCTCACCGGACTCCGCCGCTGAGAGGGCG